AAATACACGGTATAGAAATTGTAAAGAAAGAACTAAAATTATCTATTTGCAGATAGAATCATCATATATGTAAAAAACCGTAAAGAATCCACAAAAAACTACTAGAACAAATTCAGTAAACTTAGAGGCTACAATTATCAACATACAAAATTCTCACTTCTGAAGACTAAGGAATGAACTATCTAAAAAGGAAACTAAGAAAACAAGCATTTATAATAGAAACAGAAAGAATACATAGGAAATAATAAAAGAGGTGCAAGACTTCTATGTGTTGAAAATTATAAAACATTGATGTCTTTATAAATTACAAAGCTTCATAAAATTATAAAACACTGTGTCTTTGAAAATTTCCTTCATCAATGTTTTAGAATGTCGTGGATTGGAAAAATATTGTTAGTATGTCCATACTACTCAAAGTAATGTACAGATTCATTGCAACCCTTACCAAAATCTTTTTACAATGACACTTTTTACACAAATAGAAAAACTGAAATAGAATTAGTATGGAACCATGAAATACCGCAAATACCAAAGCAATCTTGAGAACAACAAAGCTGAAGACATAATGCTTTCTGGTTTGAAATCATATTACATAGCAACCACCACATAAAAACAGATAAAGCAATGGAAAAGAGAGAATCCAGAAGTAAACCCACACATTACAGCCAACTTATCTTCCACAAGTGTGCCAAGAACACACAATGGGGATAGGATACTCCTCAACAAATGGTTCTGGGAAAACTGGGTAGCTACATTCAAATAATGAAATTATACCCCTAACATCATACACAAAAATCACCTCAAATGGATTAAAGAATTAAACCTCAGGCCTGAAACTACAAAACTCCTAGAAGGAAACAGGGAAAAATCTTCTTGATATTGGTCTTGGCCATAACTTCTCAGATAGGACACCAAATTACAGGCAGCAAAAGCAAAAACAGACAAATGAGACTACATGAAATTAAAAAGATTCTGCATATCAAAGGAAACAAGGTGAAAAGGCAACCCACGGAATGGGAAAAAATGTTTGCAAACCATATAACCAATAAGGCATTAATAACCAAATATATATAAGGAACTCCTACAACTCAATACTAAAAGTATAAGTAACCTGATTTAAAATGGGCAAAAGACCTAAATAGCACTCTTTAAAGAAGAAATTCAAATGGCTAACAGGGACATGAGAAGGTTCTCAACATCTCTCACCAGGGAAATGTAAGCCAAAACCACAATGAGGTATCACTTTGCAGGCCTGCTCGGTTGGCTTTTATCAAAAAGACAAAAGATAACTAGTGTTCGTGAAGATGTGGAAAAAGGGAGCCCTCATACACTGCTGGTGGGAATACGAATTAGTACAAACATGGAAAACAGTATGGAGATTCCTCAAAAAATTAAAAGTAGAACTATCAAATGATCCAGTAATCCCATTTCTGGGTAAATGTTTCCAAAGAATTGAACACAGAATAGCAAAGAGGTATCTGCACTCTCATGTTCTTTGCAGCATTATTCAAGATAGGGAAATGACCTAAATGTCTGTCGGGGGATGAGTGAATAAAGAATATCACATTTCCTTTAACCATTTGTCTGTTGAAGTACATTTATATACATGTATGATGGAGTAATAGCCTTAAATAGGAAATCCTGCCACTTGTGACAGGATGGATGGAGCTGGAGGACAGTATGCTAAGCAAAATAAACAAGATACAGAAGAGAGATACACTGAATGATCTCACATGTGGAGTCTAAAATATTCAAATTCGGGTGCCTGGGTGGCTCAGTCGGTTAAGGGTCTGCCTTTGGCTCAGGTCATGATCCCAGGGTCCTGGGATCGAGCCCCACATTGGGTTCCCTGCTTGGCAGGAGGTCTGCTTCTCCTTCTCCCCCACTTGTGCACACGCATGCTCTCTCTCAGTCTCTCTCAAATAAAAATCTTAAAAAAACAGTAATAAAATAAAATATTCAAATTCACAGAAGCAAAAAGTAGAATGGTGGTGGCCAGGGGTGGGGAGGGGGGGGAAATGTGATGATGTTGGTCAGAATACAAAGTTTCAATTATGCAAGATGAGTAATTTCTGGAGATCTAATGTATGTACCTCATGGTGCCGATAGTTAACAATAACGTTATTTTTTTTTTTATGTTTTTATTTTTAAAGATTTTATTTATTTATTTGACAGAGAGACACAGCCAGAGAGGGAACACAAGCAGGGGGAGTAGAAGAGAGAAGCAGGCTTCACATGGAGCAGGGAGCCCGATGCGGGGCTCGATCCCAGGACTCTGGGATCATGACCTGGGCTGAAGGCAGACGCTTAACGAGACTGAGCCACCCAGGTGCCCCCAATACTGTTATTTTACGCATGTAATCTGCTAGGAGAATACATCTTGAATGTTCTCCCTACACATGCACACACAACCTATGTAGAAGTAATGTATATATTAATTAGCTTGACTGTGGTGATCATTTCACAATATATACACATATCTTGAAACACCAAATGCATAACTTAAATATATGCAATTTTTATATGTCAATGATATCCCAGTAAAACTGATTTAAGAAAAAATAAAGGATTATAAGAAAGAACTATGAACAACTGTATGCCAAATTAGATAAGCTAGAAAAAATGGACAAATTCCTGCAAACATAAAACCTACTAAGACTGAATCATGAAGAAATTAAAGTTCTGAATAGATCTAGAACTTTTAAGGAGACTGAAACAATCAGAAAGCTTCCAGCAAAGAAAAACCCAGGACCAGACAGTTTCACTGGTAAATTCTACCAAGCATTTAAACAATTAACACCAATGTTTCACAAATGCTTCCAAAAAACTGAAGAGGAAGGAAAACTTCCCAACTCACTGTATGAGGTAAGCATCACCCTGACACTTAAGAAGGACAGACACTACAAGAATTGAAAACTCCAGGCCAACGTCCTTCACGAATACTGATTCTAAAATCCTCAACAAAATACTAGCAAATGCAACTTAACATTTATTTATTTATTAATTTTTTAAAAGATTTTATTTATTTATTTGAGAGAGTGAGAGAATGAGAAACAGCATGAGAGGGGAGGGGGTCAGAGGGAGAAGCAGGCTACCCGATGTGCTGGGAGCCTGATGTGGGACTCGATCCCAGGACTCCGGGATCATGACCTGAGCCAAAGGCAGTCGCTTAACCAACTGAGCCACCCAGGCACCCCTAACGACATTTAAAAATGATTATACATCATAACCAAATGGAATTTACCCCCAGAAAGCAGGGACAGTTTAACATTCAAAAATTAATGCAATACACCACATTAGTATAATGAAGGGAAAAAGCTCACATGATCATTTCGACTGTTGGGTATATGACAAAATCCAATACCCTTTTACGATAAAAAGCAGTAGTTAATAAACTAGAAAAAGAAACAGAATACCTCAATGTAATAAAGGCCTTTAAGGAAATACCACAGGCAATGCTGTAGTCAATGGTAAAAGACTGAAAGCTTGTCCCCTAAGATCAGGAACAAGACAAGCATGTCTGCTTTCAACACTTCTATTCAACACAGTACTAGAAATTCTAGACAGTGCAGTTAGGCAAATAAAAACTAAAAGGCGTATGGATTGGAAAGGAAGAAATAAGATTTTATCTCTGTAAAGTTGCAGGATATAAAAATCAGCTGTATTTCTATACACTAGCCATGAACCACCAAAAAAATTAAGAAAACAATTCCATGTATAATAGCATCAGCAAGAATAAAATATTTAGGAATAAACTGAACTACGGAGGTGACATATCTGTACACTGAAAACTACAAAATTATAAAATAGAAATAAACTAAATAAATAGAAATAAACTAAAGACCTAAAGAAATAGAAAAATATCCGATGTTGTTGAATTGGAGGACTTCTTATTAAGATGACCATATTACGTTGGGGTTGAACTGTGTCCCCCCAGAAAGATTACCTGACAGCCTAATTCCTGGTACTTGTGAATGTGACTATTTGGAAGTAAGTCTTCACAGATGCAATCTAACAAGAAGTCATACTTGATTAGGCTGGCCCCTACTCCAATATGACTGGTGTTCTTACCAGGAAAATTTGGACACAGACAAGAAGGGAAGACAACCATGTGAAGATGAAGGTAAAGACTGTAGTCACATGCTGCTACAAGCCAAGGAATTGCCTGGGCTACCAGAAGGTCTAATAGGCAAGGTCTAACAGGTCTATCAGAAGGTCTAATAGGCAACATATGCTAGGGATTTCAGAGAGAGCACGACCCTGCCAATACCTTGATTTCACACTTCTAGCCTCCAGAACTGTGAGAGAATATATTTGTTGTTTTAAGCCACTTCATTATGGTGGGGGGGGGGCGGGGGCGGATAGGAAGTACTGTGTAAAGGTAAAAGACTATTTGGAGTGAAGAAGTTTTGGAAAATAGTAGTTCTGGTTGCAAAACACTGTGAATGTAACATGCCACTGAATTAACAGATTAACTTCCATAGAAGGAGTAGAGAAAGTTATCAGGATCTATCCTATAGGAAGCACCAAGCCCAGAGAGTTTCACAGAGAATTCTACTAAACTTTTAGAGACTACAGATTTCCCCTGCTGTCCAAAAGTAGAGCATTCTATTTTTTTCTTGAAGATTTTAATTATTTGAGAGAGAGAGTGCGAGCGTGCGCACAAGCAGGACGAGCAGCAGGCAGAGGGAGAAGCAGGCTCCCTGCTGAGCAGGGAGCCCAACGTGGGGCTCGACCCCAGGACCCTGAGACCACAACCTGAGCTGAAGGCAGACCCCTAACCAACTGTGAGCCACCCAGGCGCCCCCGAAAGTAGAGCATTCTTATGAAACCTTTCGTAAATTGAAATGTCTGTGTAAAGCACAGCAAATACCATTAATTTATATGGAAAACATCTTCGTGTTCCCAGACCCAAAAAATAACCTCTTCTAGACTTGTCTTTAGCACACATCTTGCTAACAAAAGCACAAAATAAACCAAGATAAAGCACAGATGCTCACAGACACAGTTCACAGTGATGGTGGCTTGACGATAAGATGCTGAGCGGAGTTCCCAGGGGGCACTTGGCAGGGGCACTCTCGCTGCTCATGGTGCGGGCTGCCTCTATAATGGCTTGCTGCAAAACAAACGCTGAATGTTTTCGTTTTTGTAAAAGTGAAAATCCTCTTCAGATTTCTTTCGATTAGCGAGAACAGGTACTAATGTAAGTCTTTCGCTCAAGTGGCATAACGCAAATTTTCAAAAAGCAGGGGACACCTGTGTCTAGGAAAAAAAAAACAGCCAAAGTGAAAATCATCCTGAATAAAGCAGCATCATTTCAAACTGCCATATGCTGCTGGAGACATAGCTTACAACATCAGGAATGAGACAAGGACACCCACTCTCGCTCATCAACATATTGGAGATCCTAGGCTGAGTGATAAGGAATAAAACTTGTAACGGAGACACAGAATTGGAAATAAGCAAATAAAACTGCTGCTATTGCAGATGACAGAGAAAACACAAAAGTATAAATTGTTAGAAATAAGAGAAAGAAGTGAAATGGGCCCAAAAAGTTAAGGGCAGTTCTCGGGAAGTAGTGCAGGACAGGAAGTAGGGTGGGGAAGAGATACGCGCTTAGGTATCACCACTTACTATGAAGGAAAAATTAGAACGATTCTTCTCCATTACCCTGCCCTCCACCTTAATCACCTTTGTTTCAGCTCAGTTCCTTTTCTCCAGGGGACTCTATGCAAAGGGCCACTCCATGAGAGAGGATTCTCCGTTTTCACCATCAAAGGGTTTGACATAGCCTTCATCCTCCATGTCCTTGACTCCTCACTGTACCTCTCATTTCTCTGCCTGGGAGGGCTCTCCCCAGCTCTCCTGATATCTGGATGCTTCTCCACACTCACCTATCAGTTACTGGTATGTTTCCAGAGAAGCCTCGATTCCCTGCTCTCCCCCTACTAACTCCCTCAAAAAGAGCAGCCACTGTTAAGGAAAACTCCAGTTCTGTCTCCCTCCCTCATAGGGAAAAACCCAGTTCTTCCCTGCTGGGAGTCTTTCTCCTGTGTCTCCTTTACTCTTCACACAAAACATTGCACTCTGACACTTCTGGTCACCAAATGTGTGGGGACTTTTCCCTGCAATAAAAACAAAGTCACACCACATCTCTGACACCATCCGCCGGGAGATAGTGGCGGGCCCCAGATGAAGGGCTCAGTCCCACAAGACTGCCCCCACCCTACTTCAGATGCCAATAGCAAGTAGTTAAGTCCCCAAGTTACCCACAACTTGTCTGATTTAGCTACAAATCAGAGACTCCCATGACCCCCTCCTCAGGTTGAGTAATTTGCTAGAGTGGCTCACAGATCTCAGGGGAACACTTACTTAGGTTTACCAGTTTATGGAAAGGATGATAAATAGTAAGGATGAAGAGCCAGATGAAGAGATACACAGGGTGAGGTCTGGGGGGAGGGGATCCAAGTGCAGGAACTTCTGTCCTCGTCCTGTTGGGGTGCATCACCCTCCCAGTATGTGGAAGCTCTCCAAACCCCCTAACTACTGGGGTTTTATGGAGGTTTCCTCACGTAGACATGATCAGCTCACTCCATTTCCAGCCCCTCTTCCCCTCTGGAAGATGAGGGGTAGGGCTGAAAATTCTAAGCTTCTAATTATGGCTTGGTCTTTCTGGGGACCAGCCCCATCTGGGAGCCATCTGAGCACCCACCCTGAGGCACGTCACTAGAACAAAAGATGATCCTAGCGTTATCACTTAGGAATGTATAAGGGTTTCAAGAACCCTGTGTCAGGGGTGGGGTCAAAGGCCTAATGTTGGAACAAAGGATGCTCCTAGTGTTATTAGGAAATGACACGGGTTTCAGAAGCTCTGTGCCAGGAACTGAGGACAAACCAATATATTTTCTCAATCACCCCACAGTCCCCCACTCCAGTAACCCCTCATCATACAGGTATTCTGCTGTTCTCATGGCACTCCTCTGAAACCAGCTTTCTTACGGGTTTGCTGACCTGTCTAGTGGTACCCCCATCCCCTTCCAAAGCTAAGTTCTTTGTAGGCACCTTGAATGTTTACACTGTCTCCCTCAGTGAAAGCAGTTTCTGAACAAGACAGGAACTCAACAAATATTTGAATAAATAGGTGCATGAAAGCTGTGTGCTCGGCATCTTATATTCATCTATTTCCTTGATGAACACGTCAATGACCCCACTTTATTAAAAAAATGTTTTGAGAAGAAACTCACCCAACTGCGTGCTGTTCAAAGTGGGAATACTGAAGCAAAATGAAAGGGAAATTGGGTAAACAAACCAGAAGGACAAGTGCTGGGAGAAGCTCTCTGTTTATATCCAGCATTAGAACAACACCTGTACAGTGTTATTTCTGACCGCTGCTTGTCGATGTCATGGATAATGGAGCCCCAGGTGGATCCAGAAACAGCAGTCCCCACCACAGCGTTCGTTGTGTTTTTTCTTGTTTTCATAGTTTTCTTCCAAGCCACACCATCCAGTCGGGAAATCCACTGCCCCGGCTCCAGGACCCACTGCTGCACCTCTTCCCCATCAGGTCGGCTGTGTGTTTTCCTAAGTCAGGCCACTGAGGCCGAATTCGTCAACTCCATGTCGGCCCGCTGTAGCACCTGCAACATTTCCCGCAACTTGGCGTGCATGCGGGCGAGCGCCACTCTGTTGAGGTTCCCCCACCCATATTCATCCAAGTACACAACACACTCGGCAGGGAAAGGGTACTGCACGCGCTTCAGTTCTGTCAGCCCTGCCAAGTGCTGCAGCATGTTCATGATGCCCAAGGTGGAGATGACATTGTCGTAGAACACCAGAGAGCGGAGGCGGGAGCTGCAACACAGGGCAGGCAGCAGGGCTCGGGGCTGGGCCTCCTTCAGCCGGCAGCTTCTCAAGTTCAGGTGCTGCAGAGTGCCGGACACCTCCCCCAGCAGAACCTCCAGGGGCCCAGGAACCATTTGGGACAGGTTATTACCACAGAGGACCAACTCCTTCAGGTGGGTGGCATGAACGCTCTGGGACAAGTAGGTAATGTCATTCTCAGTGAGCCTACATCCATTGATCAGCAGCATCTCCAGCGGTTTTCGCAGGCCACTGTGGAGAGATGGACACTGTTTACTTCTTAGAAACTGGAGTCTAGCACTACATACATTTGGGAAAGATCCAGAAATCTGGCCTGAGAAATTTGCACTACGCCTACCTCAGTCTGGATGCAAATGGTGAGAGCCATCTTCTGTAGCGGTTAAGAACACAGAGCCTGGAGTGAAACATTTCCCCATTCCCCACAGGACCTGTTTTCAGAGTATGGTGTCAGGCACACCTCTTAGCCTCAGCTTCCTAACGAGCCACATCAACACAATTATTACTCATGCTCCATAAAGTGTTGTAAAATTAATGAAATTTAGATATAGCTCCTACACATGGTAAGGCCTAGGTTTTATTCCGTGGAAGATTCAGGAAGATGGTTCCCCATGCTTTTATTCACTCAAAGACCAGGCCCCAGGAGAACAGCTCCCTATTCCAGGGCTTGCCACAGAGAAGTCTGTGAGACATAAATGAGGGGAATGAATTCACCAAATCAGCTGAGCTTAGATGTTGTGGGGGCAGTTCCCTCTCTCAAACACCACCCTCACAACTTACCATACTTATTCACCTTCTCTACAGAAACTCTAGGAAGACAAGACCCTGATTTTGTTCAGGGTTTCATATCCATTCTTAGCTGTCTGCTTGGCATGGACTACGTGCATGAATGAAATGAGTGAGCGAGTCAATGTATGAATGGATGAGATGCCAGTTTCAAACGTGCATCCTTCTCTTCTATAGCAGCGGATAGCCAATGGCTGGCCCAGGACCCCTGCCTTGGAGTCTGGGTCCAGCAGTGACTCTGTGGACTCACAGAAGGGGAAGTCCAGACCTCTCTGCACCAACGCAGCAATGCCCAGACACCCATCCAGGGATCCTGGCCTCTGTACCTTCAGACCACTTGCCGCATACTCACCTCAGCATCTGGCCCGAGAGACAGCCAAAGATGAGATGGAGCTTCTGAAGGTGGCCCAGCAGACTTAGCAAAGAGAAACAGTCTGCAGGGAAATCCCAGGGTATGTCGTTCATGACGAGGTGGCCCAGATTGCTCATCTGCCCTACGTGGGTGAAGAACTGGATGAGGTCCGACTGGAAGCAGAACCTACTCCTGTGATGAAGCCTCACCTCTTGGATGGTCTCCAGCTCCAGCATTCCCAGGATCTCTACGAGGCTGCGGAATGGCACCTGGTTGATGACCATGGTCCGACAGCAGAGGCGCAGACAGCCGTGGCTCTTCCCGACTCTCTGCAGTATGTACGAGGAGAACCCCGACAGGTGGAAGAAGCCAAACAAACCACCGAGAGAAAAAGGTCTGTGTGGATTTCCACGGGTTCTTGGTGATGTGGAGGCTGTTCTCTGGAACTGGGCACAGCGGTTCTGCCTCTGGCTCTTCCAACATGTGCGTGATGACAAAGGGGGCGGGAGTAGTCTCAGAGCACTCCTCCCAGTTGGAGTGCTCAAAGTCATGGGTAAAATCCAGCACCTTCAGCTTCGATCTCCTGTGGGGAATGAGGAGGAGAGCAGAGACTGGGACTTTCCAGCCAGCAGAGCAGGGCTGGCAGGAGACCAGCAGCAGGAGACCCTGGGAAGGGGCCTCTGGGCCAGCCAGCAGCCCTGCCCACTGCCATCCACTATGCCTTCGAAGGGCCCTCCTCAGTGCCCACCTTTCATACAGTGTGGGGATACCACCCAGGAACCTAGCCACACTCTTCACCACCTCAGCAGCATGATCAGCTTTGAACCACCCCAGGGCTCTCTTCTCAGAGGGACCCTGAGCAATGGCCTCAAGGCCTCACAATGATCGATGCTGTACCTGGTGGCACATGCTTGGGCCCCACGTCCCTGAACCCAGCTCCTGCTTCCTCAATTCACAGTGCCCCTACCAGCACCCCGTCTCTCCACTTACCTGGGGCATGCAGCATTGGTAGGAACCAATTCCAGCCCATCGAGGACAGCTTCCAACTTCTTGAGTTATTGACTGATCTCTTAACGATCCCAGACAGAGGCAGGGGAAGGGCCAGGCCTGCACCATTGCTGTCACAGTCTTTGTGTGTCCCCCATCAAAGGCTGCCGTGGACAATGCTGGGAAAAGGCCCACAGGGAGCTCCTCCAGGGCACGGACAGCTGAGTACTCATCATTCAGCAGGCTCTGTGCTGCAAGATCCAAGAGACTGGGAGGGTCTTGTCCGCTCATCTTCACTGACCTGGCGCAAGGTAAGGGAAAATCCTGAGTGGATTTTCACAGACCTCAGCCTCCCTCTTTTGGGCCAGGACAACCCAGCCTCCACCACCCTTCTTAGCAGGAAGTGAGATCCCCGGAGGTCTCCCAGCCCTCCTTCCATCCTACAACTTCTAGTCCTAAATCTGCAGCTTGCTCTCTCTCTGCTGGTGGCACCCGGTGTCCCTTACCCTGATCCCAGCTGGCTTAAAGAATAATTAGGGCTTTATCTCTGTTCCTTATTGTGCTTCAGAGAGCATAAATTGTTTCAAACTTAATTTCCTGAACTTTGCCCAAGATCATCCCCAGCTCCAAGGTGATTTTAAGGAGGACTGAACAACCCATCCCCTACCCTAGTCCAGTGTAAGAGCTCAGGTCCTGAGGTTTTGTTTGCCTTCTCTGGCAGGCAGGCCTTCTAAAACAGTAATGGAAACTTTCCACATGTTCAGATCTGGCCTCCTTCCTGCTCTATAGAGTGCATTCCTACTCACATTCCACCAGGCTTCAACGCAATTCAAAGACAAGAAAATTATTTTCAAAAAATCAAAAAGATGTAAATCTCCTCTTGTGGGCCTAGTAAAATTCTGCACAGACCATCAAAAAAGACAAGAAAAAGGAAAATTAAAGCACCATCCCAAGTGTAAGTAGATACAACAGTCCTAAATAAAATATTATTAAAGAGAACGAAGCAGTGTCTCATAACGAAGCAGAATCACAGAGCGTTTCTTCCAGGAACAAAAGGAGAGTGACACAGTAGAGAATCTACCCATGCACTCTGATTACACTTGGAAGACTGAACACGAGTGCTCTGAGCTGCCACCCGAAAACCCAAATGAAGTAAAGGAAGAACTAAAACCAGAAAGTCAGAGAGAAGGAGTTAGACATCCCTGCTCTTCAAGAAAAAGCCAAGTTTTGGTATCTGGAAAAAGGTGGATCAGGGGAACTAGTGTGCGGTCCACAGTAGCCAAAACCTAAGCCTGTGTGGACGGTGAAGTCAGAAATCAACTGCCAAACCTGCAAAGGCCTCAGGAGTGATGCCCACAAGCAGGGCCCAGGGCAAGGGCCAGAGAGCGTGGCCGGCCCTGTGGTACCGGAGGAGTCTCTACAAACACGGGCACTTCCTCCACCACCAGCACAGCCAGCAGTCCACACCTGGGCCCAACCTTCCTCTGGGTCCCACCCTGACTCTGCTCTGCGGCTCCCTGGAGCAGCTCTCAGCCCTCATCCTACAGCCCGCTGCTCTTGTGTGTGCTAGAGCTGGTTCAGTCAATGATCATTTTAACCACCGAAACACTGGACTCTGACCCGCCTGAGCATTTTCCACCTATGTATGAGTAAGAAGGGGCACCTGCTCAGAACTGAGGCCTGGTAGGCAGTATGGAGCAGACAGGGCAGGAGAGGGAGCACCAGGCCCCTGTCACAATCCACCAATTGTTCTGACAGCAGAGCTCCTCTGAAGCAGCCAGGGCCCTGGCTGCAGAAGTGGCTGTGACTGAAGCAGGAAATGTCCCATTTCTCTGAAGGAACAGCCCCAGGGATGCTGCATGCCTGCGACCCTCAGGGGCATCTCTGCCCTTGCCCCTCCTTCATGCCCCTCTCACTCCGCAAAAGTCTGTCCCAATACCAAACTCTTCACGACGGATGTATAATCTACTGATATCTGCACAAGACACAGAGAAGAGGTTCCCCAAAACTCGGCAGTGAGAATTCCTCATACTTTCTGAGACGATCTCGCTTCCCCTCCCTCAGCTTGTCGCCTTCCTGCCAGATGCTTTCCTTAGGAGGAGCCATTCACACCTGCAGCTTCTCCCAACTGAAGCCCCTAAGCATCTCCCTGCTGCACACCTAAAGGATCCTCACCCACCTCCCTCCATGATGGAGGGGCATGTCATAAGCACACATTCTACTTGTCACACTGATTTCTCAGGGCCTTCTCCTAGGTTCCAATGCATCGTTTCCACTGCATCGGGATTTTCAGCCCAAGGCCCACGGGTATCAGCCCAGCAGGATATGATGAGCTAAGGCCTCTGGCTCCTTTACTTGCCCACAAAACCTAGGATCTTTTGCTGGCCAACTCCTACCACGTGCACTGCCGGAATGCACTTCACCTGCTTGGGAAGCATTTCCTCCTCTGGGATTCCAGTGGCCTCTAATCCTGGGGGAGACTTAGAAGAGGCGGGCTAGTGAGGTAAAGGACAGTCTTGGCCACTGCAGCTGGTCTTGGGCTGCGATGGATACTCATCTTGTCTTCCCTGCATTATTCGTTGTAGGTTCCCTCAAGGTCCCCATCATCTCCGCTGTCCTTGCTGTGTGCCAGGTGGCCTGCCTCACACCTTGTCTCTGAAGGCTCCGAACCTTGTCACTGTGCCTCTTGCAATGAGGGCTGCGGCACCTGTCTTTTTACTGTCACAATGGGGCAAGGGATACCTGGAGGCCACTAAATGGATCCCCTGGTTTAAAAGCAGCTCTATCCTCTCCTAATCTGGGTCAGTTACTCCCACCATGATGGGGGCTCCTTTTTCTTACCAGCTGGGTGCTGGACACAAAGAGGATAAAGTGTTCAGCTCACAGCCCCAGCTTCTAACTCAACGGGACTCCTCTGCTTCACAATGGATGGCGGCCGAACCTAATCAACTTTATGACTTGGTGGGTTTGACAGAACTTACCTCATGACAAGCAGCTCTGGCCATGGGGTCATGTCATGTCTGACGGCCCTCTGCCAGGGCCCAGCAGCACTCCAGAACTGCTTTACAAAACACGCATGAGTCTCTGCAGACAGCACGGCCGGGCCCCAGACCCCTAGAAGGTACCTCTTCCTACCACTGATACCCCCGGTCCCCTCAGATCTGCGCAGTCTTGTGGCCCAAGCTCCAGGACTGCTCTCACTGCATCCCAGATTTTGCTACTCTGCAGAGAATGTTCCTATTCTGGGATACGCTCAAAGTGGCAGTCTTTTCGGGCCCTGGGTGGCTCAGTCAGCTAAACAACTGACTTCAGCTCAGGTCATGATCTCAGGGTCCGGGGATCCAGCCTGTATCGGGCTCCATGCTCAGTGGGGAGTTGGCTTCTCTCTGCCCCTCCCACTGCTCGTGCGCACATGCGCACTAATTAATAAAATCTTTTAAAAAAAGTGGCAGTCTTTTGTGTCACCTGGTATACAGACCAGAGAAGTGTTCTGAGATATGGAATATGTTGTCTCCAAAACCTGAAGAATCCTACCAGGCATCGTGCTTCCTTCTTTGCCACAGAAGGTGCAAGTGGTGATAATTCATCTTTTCCTTTGGATGATATGACCCAGCATGTCCTTGACTGCTGGGGCATTCCAAATTGTTCTCGTGCGGCAGATCCCTGAATCTTCACAGGCGCTGTGTCTCCAATGATGCAGTGCGTGCTTCTTACCAAGGCCTCCAACATGCCAGCCATTTCTCACTAATCTAGCTCGATTAGCATGCTGTCAGAGTAGTGAATCGGTGCCATGTTCTGTGGATGCCCAGGTGGTAGGTGGTCCAGATCTCTCTAAACTATGACAGAGGGAGGAAGGGTACAATCCTGGGACAAAATTAAACGTATACTCTCGCCTGTTCCATATGAATGCAAACGGTATCTGATAGGGATAGAAAGGAACACATTTGCCAATTAATGTTTGTACACCATATACCCGAGACTTCATTAATCTGGCTCGAGCAAAGCAAGCCCATCTGTCATAGCAGCTTTGGCTGGGGCTACTATCCGGGTGAGTTTACAGAAATCCTGGCCAACCTCCAGGATGAACCTGGTTTCTGGAGGGGTAGACCGCTGAATTAAATGGAAATATGACAAGGTCCACCACTCTAGTCCTCTGCATCCTTAGGAGTGACAACATTATCTGTAATTCCTCCTACCATGTGATACTGTTTCATATTTACTATCTTGACCAGGGATGGAAACAGGTACAGAGGCCTCCACTTGGCCTCTCCCGTCATGATAGTTCTTATCCCACAGATGAAAGACCCAGTGTGGGTACTGCACTGACTTCCAAATATTTTATTCCAATTACACATTTGCAAACCGGGCAATGACACACACAGGGTTACCATTGTGAGCTGGATCCTGACCCGGGATTCTATTTATTATCTGGCTCCCCGTAGGCCCCCCAATTCTAACAGTGGGCTACACTTATGTTTTGTACATCCAGATATTAATGTCAACTCTGACCCTATACCCAATGATATTCAATTTGTTTATATATCGCCCTTTCCCCGATCCACTCCTCAAATTGCTTGTATATTCCAGTCCCCCTTGTTTACATTTACCCATGTGTGGTAGGCAGCCCCCAAAATGGCCACAATGATTCTTGCCTCCTGCTATCCATTCACGCCTTTGTGAAGTCCCCTGCTGCACTGAATAAGGCAGACCTGTGATAATCTGTGGAAATTACAGTGTGTGACTTCCAAAGTTAGGTCATAAAAGGCACTGTAACTTCCACTGTGCTTCCCTTTGGATCACTTGCTTTCATGTCATAGAGACACACAAGCGGCCTTATGGAAAGGTCCATGTGGCAAGTATGAGGCCTCTTGTCAAAAACTGACCAGGCATGTGAGGGAGCTGCCTTGGAAGTGGGTACTCCAGGCCCAACTGAAACTTCAAATGACTGCAGCCCCAGCCCAGGTCTTGCTTGCATCCTCAGAGACACCAATGAACCAGCACCATCCAGCTAAGCCACAACCAAATTCTTGGCCACAGAAACCATGTGAGATAAGAGCAAAAAGAACCAATTAGGCTGCGAAGTTTTGGGCTAACTTATTCCACAGCAACAGGTAACTGAGACACTGAGTAAATGTGGGTAAATTCCTTTGAGAAAATTTGAGTCCCCTTGCCATAGAGTTACATGGTCCTTCCTTCTGGGGACCTGGCCTCTTCTTCAACCAGATGGTTTCAGGCCTAAAAACTGACTCGGGTCTAGAATGTGGCAAGGGATCATGCCTTTGTATTGGGCTGACTGCCCTCAGCCTCCTAACCATCCAGACTTGAGTTCTTTTGATAGTAAGACTATTACTCTTGGTGGCTGCCCTTCCATTCTGCACCTAAGGACACTGTGTTCTTTAAATCATTTCTGTAACTCTTTGTGGGTCAGATGCCTTGGCTGCCACTCCAACATCATGCTCACAGTAAACGGGGTAAACCTGGCTTCTGATGGTTAGATGCCACCGCCTGACTTTAACTGTTTCAGGGTACTACCATCTCTGTTTCTGTGAGTGAGTCTCTCTCTGTGACAGCCCCTCTTACTGTTTGTCAGCACTGGCCTACACAGGTACACCACCACTGAACTGTTTAATGACGCTGCTGCCCCTCATCAGCATATTCCTAGAGCCTTGGTAAATGGCGTGTTCGCCAGGGCTTCCTGTGGAATAGACCCATTTGCTAGGGTTTTCTGGCCTTACACAGTAAGCACAGCTATACCAGCGTGACAATTTCCCTGACTGTGCTAGCCCAGACTTCAGCTGCCACCTGTCAGCAGTCCTGAAACTGCAACCTCACTGAGCACCGGCCATTGCTTTCTTTCATGCTCCGGGAATCCATCCTAATAGCAAGCTGACACAGTCTCCTGGGGTCCCTGAGAGGATGTTAAATCTTCTATCTCAGAAAAATACTCCCAAATCTATAAATTCACCTTACCCAATCTTAACCCCCCCGCCCCTTTATCAAGCACCCATAATCCAGTCCCAAACATAGTCCTCAAGCTGGTACATGCTGGTTAGGTCTTTCAGCTTCTTTAGGGTCTGGTACCTTTATCTCCCTTCTCAGCCTAAGCACATCTCTTGCTGTTAGGCTGGACACAGCCCTAGCTACACGCCAGGAGGGAAACTGGGGAAGGGAGCAAGAAAAGCGTATTTTGTCGTAGTGAAAGATGCCCCTGCAATGTATTCAAATAAAAGATTTTAAGGTTTTTGTTGTTTTTTTTTTTTTAAGTAGGCTCCACACCCAGCCTAGGGACCGACCTCACCACCCTGAGATCAAGACCTGAGTGGAGATAGAATGGGACACTTAA